ATCGATGAGCAACCATTGTCAGTGACATTGGCCATTGTTAACCTGTTCTTACTGTGGGTCATTTACGTGCATTTATACAGCATAGTTAACGATGCCATAAATAGTGAAGTAAGATAGGTATGTCATTTTGAGTCATTTGCCCATGTGGAATTTGTGAGGAGAGTTAGCATTCTTCCTGCTTCTACAGCCACTCCTCTTAATCCTCTTTGTAGTTGCTGCTCATCCATTCAATCTAAGTCTTTCCGAGGGTTCTTTCCTGCATCTGCTCTCTCATGGCCTGCTGAGGTGACTTCGTGCAGCCCTGCGACTCCCAGTTCTCACCTTTCTGCTGACGATTTGACGTGCATGTCCAACTGCCACCCCTCGGCTGTCCACAGACATCTCAAATTCAGCACGTCCCTAACTGAATTCAACATCTGTCACCTCCTACCTGCCCCAGAATGCCCCTTCTGCTTCTAGGGTCCCTTTACCATCCTTCCCTTGTTCAAGCTACAGCCCAGGACCATCCTCTGCTCCTCGAATTCCCTTATGCTCTTAGCCAAGTTACAAGTCCTGTGACTTCTGCTCCCTTAATATCAACCAGAACGACGGATGTGTCCCTTTGTAGTTCTGAGACACAGTCCCACAACTAGACTATTGTAACCTCTTCCTAAAAGTCCCTCTGTCTTTGGTTTTACTCTTGCTGTACCAACCTCCAGCCCCTCATTTACCCCGCTTAGGAAGTGTCCCATGGCTCCTCGAACCTCATGTTGGCTGCATGTTTTATTTTCTTGGGAGTCCCTCTACTTCACCCTCATAGCACTTACCACTCCGTGCGACGGCCACCTGCTTATTTCCCCCATGTCCCTACTAGACATTAAACCTGTGACTTGGGGTCTTGCTCACCATCCAATCCCCAGGGCCTAGCACAGTAAATGCTGCACAGAAGACACTTAATAATTTTTAAACATTGTGGAATGTTAGTCAATTTTCAAGCTTTCAAATATTTAAATTATAAAACAAGTAGAAAGAAATTATAACACATAAATTGCATAATGACAAAGTCTGGAATCAAAAAACCTGTATTGAATTTCTGGCTCTATCATTGCCTTATAGGACACTTTTGACAAAACATAAAATTTTGTCACTGTAATGTAATCATATAACACTCATCATTACTGAGTACACAATAAAAATGACAATAACATCTTGAATTTATGACCTCTTAGTAGTTAGAAGTATTTCTTATGAATTATTTATTTGTTCAATATCCCTTTGGGGTAGGCTTGCATCTTTTCGACTAGAAGGTAATAAAGGGAGATATAGTCCTTCCTGTGTCAAAACATGGTCCTGAGATGTCCCCTCCTTCGCAGTATGTCATGAAGATTCATGATGTCGTCTGAGGCCTTATGCTCTCAGGAGAAAAACGGGTTGTATAAAGTAGTTTCATACTCTTCTACATCCAATTTCTTAAAAATTCAAAATATTTTGGGATGAAAATATGTACACATTATTTCAGTATTTCTGCTTATTCCTGGACTCTTTTTCCATGTTTTTCTGGAGACACTTTTTTCCACACCCACTCGAACCATCTGTGTCCCAGGCAAGTTTTCTGAGACGTAAAGTGAAATATGTTCATGTCATTTATTTAGAAAGGACTATGACTAATGATACTGTGGGAAAAAATGGCATCGTTAATGAAAAAGTGCGTTCTCTGTATGAGCAGCCGGGGAAGCTGGCAGTTATGGCCGCACAAAGCCACGTCCTGCAGACGAGCCCCGCGCCGGCTCTTGTCAAAGTAACCCGCAAAGATCTCCTACAACGAACGGCGCGTCCGCATCGCTAGGGTCTGGAGGTAGCCCCTGAGAAGTGATGGTTCTTCACCATCACCAGACCGTGAAGTTTTAAAAAATGTATGCAGTTTTGCATCCTACGTAATATATTAATGTTCACTTTACATGAAAATGTTAAAAATTATTTACCTTTAATGACAATAGACATTTCAGGAAGAGGTACCATATTTATCCTTGCCTTCAAATGCTCTGGACATAGGCGCGCGCCTCGAGGGGCACTTTTATCCTGGTTTGAAAAGCGCAGGGTCCTAGGACATTGCGGCCCAGGCCATAGGATTGTTGTTAGAATGTAAGAAAATCCTTCCATGTGTCCCCTTTTCACTTTTCTACACATAAACTCCTGAAATCTTTTTGCCTGCCTCACTACCAAGATCTTCAAAATGTGGCTCCACACACCTAACTGGTATCATTTCCACAGTTAAGTTGATTGAGAATGTAAGATCAGCTTCCTCAAATAGAGATTTTCTGTTTGAGAGAAAGGATCAGTCTGAGGTGAGAATTACCTATGTAATTCCCTCTTTAGATCTCATTAAAATTGGAACCCAAACAAATTATAAAATGGAAGGCCTTTTCTGGTGAGCATCTTGAAAATATGATCAAATACAGAAAGCTGGTCACGCTCAGATATGAGTAAGAGAAGTGACTTATTTATACATTCGAATTTCAAAACATTTGTAAGACCTACCCTGTATGCTATTAAAAGGCTTTTAATTTAAAATTATTTTGTTAGATAATCCTGTTGCAAGTGACATTATGATTTATTGCCACTAATCAAGATTTTGATCCCTCATAGACTTCTTGTTTGTATCTGTTTTTGTTCTTTGTTACATAAATATGGGGTTTATATATAAAATTCTGACTGTGTAATATAGGGCTAATGAGTCACAGATGGAGAGATGCTGGCACATTACCATCTAATAACATTTTAAACTCATATTCTGTAGTATAACAAAAGCAAATTGTACACATCTGTTTTCCAACTTGTAGCATTTCTGAATTTGTACGGAATCTATATTTAAAGGAATTTTATTTAGGGAAAAGAAAAAGAGGACACAGGTCACCTCGAAGCTCTCTAGCCTCTTAATAACCTTATCAGAAAGGATTTGGCAAAAGGGATAAGATTTCCTCCGCTTTGCTTCCTGAGAAGTCCCAGCTCTAAAGAACAAAAATCGAAGGCATTAGGATTGAAGAAACGTCTTTAGGCTACAAACCTGACTTGACTGCCTCTCTTAAAAATGCCGATATATCCCTGATATGAAGAAAATAGGGAGAAAAATATCCACAAAACTAATAAAATTAAAAATGCAGAAACTTACTGGCCTTTCCTAAAACTATTCCCAAACTAGATTTGGGTGGGAAGGGAACCGGCAGAAGCTTGAGGCCCTGTACTGTGCTGGTGGTTGTTTATATTATTTGTATGGTAAACATATTTTGTGTTTAAAAAAAAACTGGAAAAAAGGTAGAAATAGAACAAAGTCAGAATTTCTCTCTCACACTTACCCAATCGATAACACCCGTGAGAACGAGTTAGTACAAGTTATTGAAGTAAAAGTCTCTAAAACCTCTCTCCTCCATTCTCCTTGGTTAAGGAATTCAAAACCACTTTTCTGCTTTAAGGGGTTGTGTGAACTGTCAAATTCTTTTGGAAAAGTTACGTGACAGAAGTGATTACTGCAGAGTGTGACCATAAATCCCCCTGACATGGAATACACATGTTATAAGAGACAGATTTCCATCCACCACCTCTGCATAAATTCCTGAAACAGGAGAGACCTGAAATTCATCACAGGATTGGAGAGAGAAATTGTGATATGTGGGTGGTAAGACTCTATTTCGTGAGGCATACTGTGTTTATTCTGAGGAATACTTTCGATCCGACAGCAAAATTCTATTCACTTTTGTTGTCCAAAAAAAACTTAATATATATGCTATATGTCCTGAGTTGCAGAGTAAATAGAGTATCAGTAGAGGAAAATTACAGTGTTGTTTTCATAACAGTGTCTGGAGTCATCTCCACTTCGTACTAACATTTTGTAAGTGGGATTCCAAAAATGGTAAGCGTAGCAAACTCTTTACCCCAGTGTGTACACACAGATCCCACGTACCTGCCACCAGGGGCAGCGGCAATGAGTTCTCAGCCTTGCCGTTCCATGCTTTAAGGAACGGTTGGTTCACCTGGGGGCCTCACGTGTCTGGTTTTGTTTGTGGTGTGTCAAACAAGGCCGGAGTTAGAGCCAGGAAAGGGAGGCATTAGGTATGTGCTTGTTTTGTTTGTCCACCTGTGACATGTCTGTGTGACGTTCCGTGTCGTGTTGTTTTGGTGCCGTGCTGTCCATAGGGCCTGCCGGGCTTCCCCACAGTTGCCGCCCTGCACAGTAACCAGATCCTCACCGTCAAGGTCTGTGGTCCACCCCACGTTGCTCAGTCAGAGCGCAGCCAGCATAAGAGTGAGCGAGAACGGTCCGACTGGCCTTCCGAGCCAGGCCGCCTCCTCTCGTCGTGCACATCAAGTTATTGGGCACTTGAGACCTCCCCTGCATCCGTGAGGTCGCATGTACATTAAGAGGGTGCGTCCTGAGCATGCTCGGGAGGAGGATATTGAGGTCGAGCAGGTACAGTGAAGAGAGGCAGGCACAACCATCTAGGACCGTGCTGCGCCTCGATGGTTTAACGTGCATGCGTTTAATGCTCTGTGATATTTTTCTGGTCAATGAAATCATCCTAAACACTCTCTCTGGACCTCGGGCATCAGCAGAAGGGCAGTCGAGTTCATGCCACATTATGCTGGTTGACAAGTCTGACGGAAACGGAACTGACACTTCGTCTCTAGACTTTCTGCTCAGCGTGCAGGAGGCAGGGTCACCCCGGCCTCTCTGTGTCTGGGAATACACTACATTAACAAGACCCAACACCCACAGCAAATGATGGGGTCCAAAAAAGATTCACTTCTAACTAAAAATCTGGCCTCACCATCCCATTTCGGGGTCCTGTTTCTTTCAGGAAGAGCCAGAGGGTCTAATGTCAGATGCAAGTGCCAGTTCTGTTTTGTTTAATAGTCACTATAAGTCTAATGCATATATCTTTATTTCTTTCTTGGGGCCTTCTGATGTCTATTCTCCAACTCTCTCATCTCTGAACTTCAACCTTTGACCTCACCTGACTGATCAGATGGTGTTTCCTAAAATCAATCATGGGTTTCTCTCTGCTGATCAGCAGCTCATTAAACGCCGCCTGATTAAGGTAGTGCTTATTCTTGCTGAAGTCTGATTTCTTCTTTGCATTCGGTTATTGGTCTGTGTACTGTTGCTTTGCCATTTATCTCTCATGGGCGGGGCGTGGGTGGTGGGTGGGTATTTATTTGGAAATATCCTAGAACAAAATTATGTTTAGTGGGCTGCATTGGTTTGAAATGTATATGAAATTACCAAAAGAAAAAGGGATAGAAAGCCTATCTAATTTTCTCCTAATTGAAATAAAACAACTTAATTTGCTCAGTTTCTGAGCTCCCTAGCTTTGGTAATTTATAAATTATTATGCAATATGACAGGAGCCTCATATGCTTAATTTTGAAGGGTATGAAAAAGTAAGCACATTCCTCTAACTATAAATGCATCCATTTTATTAATATTAAACAAGGTGAACATAACTGATGCAGCATTGTCATGGATAAAGTTATGCAAAAGTTTTATCCCAGCTCCGAGCAGAGTGATAACACATACACTAGTTTCAAAAGCTGCGAGTGCTGGTCCCAAGCTGCTTGGATTTTAACAGCATCTACTTGGCTCGCCCGGCATGAATATTTATGTGCTCCCTGTTGGCAGGCAAATTGCCTACAGGCTTCATGTTTCTGGTTGTTCTGGTTCTTTTAAGAGTGTAAATGTGGATTAACTATTACAAATTTAAAGTGTTGAAAAGAAGACCTGGGTTTTTATCTTTCATGCTTATTTTTGGTCTTTTCCCCTCTCCATCGCAGGGTGACCAAGGCCAGGCAGGGCCTCCAGGACCCCCAGGCCCTCCAGGCCCAAGAGGGCCACCTGGGGACACAGGGAAGGATGGCCCCCGTGGAACGCCAGGAGTGCCCGTGAGTTGCTTTTCAGATCAGTTGTTATCACAGGTTTTGCTTCATGTGAAGGGCTGAGAACCAGGAGGGAGGATGATGATGAGGGGCTGTAGGCTCAGAGGGTCAAGTGAGTGGAGTGGGTCAAGGGACGTGGGATGGTAGAAAAGTCCCCAAGCAGAGCAGGGCTCACTCCTGGCAGCATCCGATTTTACCACTTAATTCACCGGGAACCCACGCAAACCACAAAGAGAGACTGGAGACAGCAACTAAACTGGTTTTCAGGTAAGTCTCAAGAAGTTTGTGATTGGAGATGCTTGATCTCATGCTTGTCCTGACTACCTAGTGTGCATCAAGGCCTTTGGTTTAAATAGGAGATTAGTTTGAAAAACTAAGTGGGAGATTGCTAACATTTTCCGAAGGGTCAATAGCAGACACAGTAAAGTCCCATACTACTAATATTTATGGAAAGCAGAGGAAGTAAAACTTTCTGATATTTAATCCTTTGTAAACAACTTGACCCCTCAAAATTACTCATAACAGTAAAATTAATGGTTAAGACATTGGTAGGTATGACTTAAATATCATTTTTCTTTTGTATGTAAGGCTTATTAATAGAAAGGATTTAAAAGTAATCTCAATACTTAGTTACTAAGATTGGTCAAGTGTCTGACATAGTAATAGAAGACACTAGATAAATGGTTTGGTTTGGTAGAGGCAGCTCAGCAATTTAAAGAAATATATAGAAAAGGTCAATTTTGGATTTATATTATACTTTAGGGCTAGAAATTAAGGCTTATTACTGGATTATTTAATGTATTTCTTTAACTAAAATTATTTTCATTAGTATTTTCATAGTATAAAAGTAATAATGAAAATATTTATTCACAAAGAGAATTTTGAAAATAAAACCAAAAAGAAAAAAATAAAAATTTGCCATAATTATTAATGTTTTGGTATATTTCCTTCCATTTTCATATGCATATATTCATGAATTTTTTTTAAAGAGTGATTCTCTTTATAAGAATATAGGATACTTTAAAACTTTTCTGAGACAGCCTTATAAGCCCCATTTCCCTTTATGGATGCTGCTATGAGTTTGCTGATATGAAATGAGAAATTGACTTTTAACAAATGATTTGCTGGTTGTTAGGACTGCTTTCACTGAAACTTCAACGGCAGTGGTTTAATTCTAAAACTGTCTTCTACTGTCTCTCCTTTTCTAAGGATAATACCCCAAAAGATAGAGAGATCTGCGGCTTTAGGAATATGTCAAGCTCCCCTGTTACTGGTTGCCAGCAGAGAGATACAATGAATCTCTCTTCAAATAAAGCAGTCAAAACCATTTTGATGGTACAAAATTAGATCATTGAGCATTGTATACTATCACAGAAATTAAATTCAAACTAGAAATTGCTTTTAAGAAACAAAGATAAAGGTAATATATGAAAAACTAAACAATCCAAAATTATGTCATTCTTTAAATGAATATGGTTTATTCATGTAAGAAAGAAATTGAACCTTTTACACAAAGGAAAAATTAAATCCCACAAATATAATTTGAACTGGATATGGTCTCTTATATGTATTATGATAACTACTATAAAAAGGGTTTTTTTGCTTTTATTTTTTTGTTTTTTGTGGCAGAGTCTCACTACCTTGCCCAGGCTGGAGTGAAGTGATGATTCACGTGTGCCACCACAGTGCACTCCAGCCTCGGGCCCCTGGGCTCAGGGAGCCCTCCTGCCTCAGCCTCCTGAGTAGCTGGGATGATAGGTGTGACCCACCACACCCAGCTAAAAAAAAATTTTATAAAAATAAAGTGGGAAATACTTATTTTGAAAGCCCAGCAGCATCTATATATATTAGCCAATGACTGTCATTATAATATGACAATAAAACGTTAGGCCAGGCATGGTGGCTCACGCCTATAATCCTAGCACTCAGGGAGGCTGAGGCAGGAGGATCACTTGAGGTCAGGAGTTCAAGATCAGCCTGAGCAAGAGCAAGACCCCGTCTCTACAAAAATAACAGAAAAATTAGCCAGGGATTGCGGCGCGCACCTGTAGTCCCAGCTACTCCGGAGGCTGAGATAGAAGAATGACTTGGGCCCAGGAGTTTGAGGTTGCTGTGAGCTATGATGATTCCACTGCACTTAGCCTGGGCAACAGAGCAAGACCCTGTCTCAAAAAAAAAAAAGAAAAAAGAGAATCAATTCCATATTAATCTGAGTATTATAAAATGGTGATGTTAGTATGATATGGCAGACTTTTCTCTATCAATTTTAATAAAACATGTTACTTAAGCCATCATTAATCCAGGAAGGTCAAAATTTAAAATCAGTCTCTGCTCATTTTATTAAATTCCTGCCCTAAGAGCAATTGTCTCTCTGTATGGAAGTTCTGAGTTCTCATAGAGAAGATATCGTGTCATCATTTTTATGTCACCATAGAGAGGATATGATAATCCAGACTAAATTTTTAAAATCCTGAAATGTTTATAAAATTCATTTGAAGAAAGAATATCAACTCTCTTTTAATTGTGCTATGTTTATATTCCTCTATTTAACCTGAAAAACATACTTGACATTCACATGTCCAGTGGGTATTAGGAAAAAGAAAAAAAAAGATGACTGAAGTTGTTTTTTGTTTACAGCATTATTAAAATGATCACTGTTCTTTTTTAAGGGTGAACCAGGGAAACCAGGAGAACAAGGCTTGACGGCAAGTATCTCAGTTTATCTTTTTCCGCACTAAAAATAATGGGAGGCCAGGTTAGTAAAACTGGTCAAGATTGTGTGTGACAAATGTGATCTGTCATATGACAGATGAAAACAAAAAAGTTAAAATCAGTAAAAGTTATAAGGTAAGATATTAGCCCGGCACAGTGGTGCGCACCTGTAGTCCCAGCTACTTGGGAGGCTGAGGCAGGAGGATCACTTGAACCCAGGAGTTCGAGGCTGCAGTGAGCTGTGATCATGCCACTGCACTCTAGCTCAGGCGACAGAGTGAGACCCTGTCTCTAAAATCACAAATAAAAAAAAAAGTAAGGTGGCCTCTTTACCACCACTATATGCTAAAGGTCACAAGGCTACACATCTACAGGACTGATGTGGGAGAAAAAGAAAGAGAGATTCCAGGTGGGGGACTGACAGAGAGACACTGAAAAAGCTCAAAGGAGAAAATTTAATTCAAGCAACTCTGTTATAAGAGAGATTAAATTTAGGCATATGCCTATTAGCTTAAATAGAAATGCATTTTCAAATTCTTAAAGGGATCAGGTGTGACTAACTATGAATTAGCATAGCGAACCTTGCGTAGCATTTCAAGGAGTTTGTTGTTGCTGTTGCTGTTGTTGTTGTTGTTGTTGTTGTTGTTGTTGTTAAAGGGCTCCACACAGAGAGAAAAAGTTGTGCCTTTGGGAGCTCTGTCATTAAAAAAAGGTAATGCAGTGATTCCATGTGGACTGGCTCGCAGACACACAGGGCCCAGTTCCCTGTGATTTGTTTATCTTTTGCCAACAGAAAAGATGTTTGTTCAGCTTGGTGGGCCCTGGAGAGTGGAATTCCTTCAACCTCCCTCTCCCTGTCTCTTCTCTTGAGCTGCCTTTCTAACCTACCTTATGACACACACACTATTGGGAGACACAGGGTGATTCTCTAATAACCCAAATGCCGGAGGACAGCTCACGCTCATCCTGGAGGCAGAACGAGTGGGCTCAGAGACTGCCAGGGAGCCGACAGGTGATCGCGATAAGCTTGATAATGTGCATTCTAGAATACATACTGTTTGGCACTCAGCATGCAGGTGTTCTGGGTATAAAATTTATTTTATAAATACAGTTAACTAGGTCCTAGTGAAACTAACTCACTGGAGCATAACAGTTGGTCAGGAACAAGCTTGTGAATGAGTTAAAAATCAAAGGCTTCTTCCTGCATGGGACGCCTTCAGCAGCTCTCCTGGGAGAAACCCCCCAATTTAGCTGTAAGTGGAGCTGCCTTGGAACAATCTCTAGGGAAATGAAGGCACCCTAACACCCAATCTGACCACCTTGAGACCAAATCTGAACACCCTGAGACCAAATCTGACCCATCGCCTGGAAAGTCTCTGTTCCTGAGCTATAATAACAAGATAGATATTTGATACAGATAATTTTTGGTAGTATAATGGGTTTTTTTTTAAAAGAATAAGGTGAAAGAACAAGAAAAAAAGACCATATGTAAAAATTAAACAAAACATTTGTCTTTGGTGGTAACTTTGCAGAGAAGTTCAGCATTAGCTCAGTGGTACGAAGTCACAGAGGACGAAGGATTCATGGAAAACTGTAACATAAATTTCGAAACTGCTTTAAGCAATTGAATGTACATGTAATTTGTATTCTGGAAAATGGTCAAAACATATTCCTTCTGAACATTCTTATATGGAAAGCTACTTGGGATGCCCAGGAGCCCTTGTTTGTCCCCAAGTATGCACAGACTACTCAAGTTTTTATCACTGGCATTGGCTTTCTTCCCTGATGCCCACGGCAGCATCCTGATATACAATATTCTAAAATAAAACGGATATGTTTTTTTAAATTATATGTTTACCTTCCTTGAATTTATATATACTCTCTAGTATATACTGTGTGAATAACAACATAATCCTCTTCCCCTACAATTCCTAGTTTGACATCATTAAATGTAAATGTTTGACCTAGTCTTAAAGGAACTGTGTTATTATCTTAGGGTGTCCAATTTCCCATTTCATCTAGAAATTTCCCAGATGACAATAACACTGGATATTTTTTTCTATAAACCTTTTCTATTCTTCTTAAATTCTTCAGATTTAGTTCTTGTTCTCATTTTTAAAATGCAGCTAAGAAACTTAATTGAAATCACAAATGTTCCAAGGATATGTATATTCAATGATCTTCTAAAGTACATTTACAATTACTTGTTTAAAGATGTAAAGTCATTTTTAAGAGAAAACTTCCATAATATATAAAGAAAAGTAGACAAATCGTAGCTTATATCTCAGTGAATTTTCACACAGTGACCATAACTATATATAAACCAGATCAAGAACTAGAACGTTATCATAAACCTCCTTGACCTCAGTCACCATCCCACAGGTAGCAACCATTCTGACTTCTGTCACCACGGATTAGTTTTGCCTGCATTTGAATTTTGTATTAATTGAATCATACAGTGTGTATACTTTTGTGTCTGGCTTCTTTCATTCAACGTTGTATTTGTGAGATCATCCACCTCTGTTTTAATAGCCTTCACAGCTGGTGAAAAGAAAAAAAAGGAGGAAGAATCTTATTTCTTTAACTACCCTGTTAAAACTACATCCCTCAGATAGCAGTAAATGAATGAACGTCCGACCTTGGGCAAGTCACTTAACCTCTCAATTTCTCATCTGTAAAGAAATGAGAATACTCTCTCTGACTGCCTTAAAAGGTTGCCAAAGACAAATGCAATAAATTAGGGGAAGCACTTTAAAATACACAATGAAGAACTATATGAGTATGTTATTATTATTATCACTCACTTGTTCTCTCTAGAGTAAGTTACAGGTGAGCATGGATATATATAACAGATGCATTCCTGTAAAGTTTTATATAAATCAGATTTTCATAAATCAACATATTTTAAATGTGCTGGGGAATTTTGCTACTTAAAGCAATCCTATTCAAAGTCTTTGTGTAAAGTGGTATCCCCTAATTCTTCTCCCCAGCAAACTGAATTTCTATATTTTATATTTGCTTAACATGAAATATTTCTCTGATCTAAAAACCTATCATTTTAAAAAATCACTATTTCAGTTTGTTAACTTGAATAGCACCTATATATTTTAACCCATCTCAGAGAGAGAAGAGGATACTGGAAACATAATTGCAATTTTCATGAGGAGAAAAATTCCCTTGGAAATGTTCTTTCAAATTGTGTGTGTGTGTGTGTGTATGTGTGTGTGTTAACTCAAAGTCTGGTAGGGAGAAAAGTACATTGTACCAGTAGTTCTAGGATTAGGGGTATATGACTAAGGTCTGTGATCCTTTTTACTAATCTATAAAATGTAGGTAGTAATTCCTAGTCTATTGAATTATGGTGAGAAGCAAGGGAAATAATAATATGAAATGTTTTATAAACTACAAAGAGTTCTACAGATGAGAAGTATTACTGTTAAATGTCCAGTGATAAAACTTGGCATACAGAAAGAATATGCTTAGAAATGTAAGGGCTAAGCACAGTTGAATACTAGGTGCCAATTAAATTACAGTGTTTCCAAATACTGCCATTGATTTACTGTGATTTATTGATTTTTTCCTATTTGTTGTTGCTGTTATTGTTGTTCTGACCTTCTCCTATGTATCACATCATCTTACATTATCAATTTTTTATAACATTCCCCTCCTCACCCACCAGTTCAAACAAAGAAAAGATAATAAGTACCACTGCTCTCATCTTTTGCACATTACACAAAAGCTACCGCATTTGTTGGTTTATTGAGGAGGAGTGCTTGCTTTCGTGAGTGCCTCTTAAGAGGCACTGGAGAATTTTTATAAATTTAAAATGTCTCTGATGATGAAATAAAGAAGCTAGAAACAATCTAAAATTAGCTCATACAAAACTGTTTCTGAGTGTGTCAGATAGGGAATTCGTTTTCATAATCCAGGAGATAGAGTTTATATTGCAAAAATAATCATCTGAACATTAACAGCATCCAGGATAGATTAGAAAAGAAAACCTGCAGCTCAAGCAGTTCCATGTTTGTTGAGTCCTGCTGTGCCTCTATTCTGTAAACATGACCTTCGGGTTTTCTGAGAAGTTCAGGATGAGATTTTAAAAGACAGAATCTCGAGCGTGAATAAATTTGACTTCATCTAAATAAGGAGAGAACCACTCTCTGTTGTAAAACTAGACCCAAGAATAAAATGAAGGATTGACCACAGTTAGAAATGGTAGAGTTCTGAATCCTAGCACAAGTGATCTTTATCTTTTGGCTTTTCAGAAATGTAAATAGCTGTTAAAGTATAAAAAAAAACCAAAAATGACCAAAATCATCTCAATGTGGTTAGTTACTAGACTAGAGTTCGGTGATGAAATCTCGTTTGGTAAAACTGCATGTACTTGGTTGTGCGCTCTGCCTGCTGAGATGCCTTAGCAACCATTCTAACGCTGTATTATCCTCACTTAATCTGGTTGTCCATGAAGTGTGTATAAATGGCACCGCTACAGAGCTCTTCCCTCCTGCGTGGTGCGTTTGTCCAGAGCCTGTAGTGCTGCTTTCCGAATGGACCAAGAGAAAGTAGACAAGTGGTGCCACCTTCTCCTGGTGCTGTCCGACCGCTGCCTCTTCCAGTTGACCAGCCCAGGAAACACTCTTTGTGTTGACTCCTGTGTGCACAGACTTCTCCAGAGATGCCTCAGGGTGGTGTTAGAACACTTGACTTTTCTTTGAGGCTGGTTCTGTCTCCTAGAAACAAAAGGTCAACTTGGCAAAGCATTTTCAACAGTGATTTACAAACGCAATCATGTAACATGCATACAAAAAAATAGTCTAAACAGCTGAGTAGATGACTGTATTCTTCTCTCATTTTTTCCTTTTTGTTTTTCTTAATGACCTCTACACTGTGAATCAGCTCTATTGTTAACTATCTCTACACTGGTTCCAGTTAGAGGTCTAATAAGCTATATTATATTGGACAAGTTAAGATATCCAGGCCTTAGGTTCCTCAT